GGCAGGTGGATCTCTGTGAAGTCAATGGCAGCCTGGTCTACAGAGCAAGTTCCAGGACAGCTGGGGCTACACAGAGAAACCCTGTCTCGAAAGCAAAAACAGCAACAAAAAAGAAAAATATTCTTTTGCCATGAGACTTTTAGTTAACTGTACAAATAAATTTCTGAAATATCCCAAGCAAAATGGTGAACTTTGGCAGCCCAGTTTGGAGGCCCCCATATAGAAGTCCCTCAGGTCGGTGATGTCAGTGCCCAAGCTCACAATGTGGCATGAAGTTTCTGTCCACCTTGCAGGGGGATCTTGGGGATGCCAGGAATGAGGCAGGTAAGTCTTAACCTAGGGTTTTAGCAAATTTCTCTCCATTTTGGTTTGCAATGTACTCCTGGGTCTGAGTTGTCTTCAGATGGGTGTCATTGAAGCTGATGATCTCCGCCATATATTTACTGCAACTCGTAGAGTGTCACTCTGAGCCCAGGCTTCTGGCCCTCCAGCTCATGTTGCTGCAGTGAGAGACCAGAAATAAAGCATTTGTCAAACTGGGTGTGGTGGCGCATGTTTGAGTTTTGACTCGGCTGAGATGGAATCTCAATGTGTTTAAATTTGCATTTCCCACATGGCTAGGAATGCTGAACATTTAAGAAAATATTTATTGGTCATTTTTGTTTCTTCACCCCACAGTTGTCCATTCATTTCAGTGGCCCAGTTATTGACTGGCAGCTTTGTGATTTTGTTTAAAGGTGAGGGAGCACGCCTTTAATCCCAGCACTCAGTGGGCAGAGGCAGGTGGATCTCTGTGAGTTTGAGGCCAGCCTGCATCTACAGAGTGAGTTCCAGGAAGGACAGGACTACACAGAGAAACTATATCTTCAAAAACAAAAACAAAAACCAACCAAAAAAACCAAAAACCCAAAAACATTGCAGTTCTCTTTCTTTTTTCGAGACAGGGTTTCTCTGTGGCTTTGGAGGCTGTCCTGAAACTAGCTCTTGTAGACCAGGCTGGCCTCGAACTCACAGAGATCCGCCTGCCTCTGCCTCCCGAGTGCTGGGATTAAAGGCGTGAGCCACCAACGCCCGGCTTTTGAAACAGTTTTGAGATGATCTTACTAAGTAGCCTAGACTACATAGCCAAGGCTTGCCTAGACTCTGGGTTTGACCCAGCATCATTTGAAAAAGAAAGAAAAACTGAGACATAGGAGAGATGTGATTTTACAGGGAAGAGACTGTCCGCAGAAATGGTGACAAAGTCCTGTGAACCCTTAGGAGAGAAGCTTAGGAGCAGTCACACCCGAGGACCCGAGGCTCTTGAGAGAATGTCTGACTGCGGAGAAAGCCACCAGTCAGCTCTGAAGTAGAGCAGGGGCAGACAAGCCCAGCCTCCGAGGCTCTAACTTCAGGCCTGCAGTAGAGCAGGGGCAGACAAGCCCAGCCTCCGAGGCTCTAACTTCTGACACCAATTTAACCTGGAGCCATGTTTGACTCAGGGACTGCGGGGAGCCTTCCAACTCTGTCCACGCCACACCAGAATCGCCACCTCCTCTGACACGGGTTTAGGAAGCCTTGGCTGCATCTCAGTGGAGGGTTCTGTCTTTCTCTTTGGGTTGTGTACACTCTGAGGGTTGTTTGCCTTTGGTTTGCAGGTCCTGGGGACAGCTTTGGGCATGCAGGGAAAGTGCCTGTGCACAAAGCCACACCCCCAGGCTTTGTTTCATGGGCTTCCTCTTAGAGAATGAGTCTGAGGACAGCCAGCAGCCTGCAGAAACTCCAGGCTCTCTGAGCCACCTCGGCATGACGTGGAGCCTTGTGTGGGTTAACACTGAGGAGGAGGTTAGCATTGTTAACACTGAGGAGAGGACAGGAAGGGGTGAGAACAGCAGGAGTCAGGGAGGGCAGGAGGGGGGAGGTGTTCTCTGGAATGAAAGTACCTTTTCCCAGTTGTCATGGGGGTCTCTTGGGGGGGGGGGAGGCAGGAGGACCAGAACTTCAAAATCATCCTTGGCTACATAGTCAGTTTGGTGCTTGTCTGGGACAGATGAGATCTTGCCAAAAGACGGTTGGGGCAGAGAAGGGGGGAGACAGACAGACAGACAGACAGACAGACAGACAAGCTGCAGCTAGTTCAGCAGTTAAATGTTTGCTGAGCAAGTGTGAGAACTGGGGCTCATTGCCCTAGAAACCCATGCCAGTGCTGTGTGTGTGTGTGTGTGTGTGTGTGTGTGTGTGTGTGTGTGTGTGTGTGTGTGGAGTGTGTGGTGTGTGTGTGGTGTGTGTGTGTGGTGTGTGTGTGGTGTGTGTGTGTGTGTGTGGTGTGCTGTGTGTGTGGTGTGTGTGTGTGGTGTGTGTGTGGTGTGTGTGTGGGGTGTGTGTGTGTGTGTGTGGGGTGTTGTGTGGGGTGTGTGTGTGTGTGTGTGTGTGTGGTGTGTGTGTGTGGGGGTGTGTGTGTGTGGGGTGTGTGTGTGTGGGGTGTGTGTGTGTGTGTGTGTGGTGTGTGTGTGTGTGTGTGTGTGTGTGCGCTGTGTGTGTGCTGTGTGTGGCAGTCACCCGGAATTCCAGCCTCTGAAGGTGGAGACGGGATGCCCAAACCCAGCTGCTTAACACGATCAGTTATTTTGGTGAGTCTGGTTTGGGGTTGATTTTGAGAAACAAAGAGTGAAGCGTAAAATTGATTATGATCTAGGATGATTCCTGACATCAGCCTGGGGCCTCCACATGCAAACATATGCACACACACCCACACACACGTGCACTCACAAACACACACAAAACATATATACACACATGCGTATCATACAACAACTGTAAAAAGAAACAGTCACAGCTGGGCACGGTTACATGTCTGCAGAGGCAGGTGGATCTTGGTGAGTCTCAGGCCAGCCTGGTCTATACAGCAGGTTCCAAGACAGCAGGGGCAGTGTACATAGGCAAACCATGTCTCAAGAAAGAAAAAATGAAGAAAGAAATGAAGGAAGGGATAAAGAGAAGAGAGAGAGAGCAACACATGCTGAAATTAGCATTACCATACACTCTGTAACACTCCCAGGTATATAGCAAGGGGGCACACATGTACAGTGCTAACCATGAAACTAAATTATGGAGCCAGCCCGCATGCCTGTCCTAGGAGGAATAAGGAAATTGTGCGATATATGCATCGTGGCATTTCACTCAAGCACAAAGAAGAAAAGAAATCATGCCATTTGGGAGGAATGGAACGTCAGAAGGCAACAAAGAGTAAGCGGCCTAATGCAAACCTCTGTTGCAGCCTGGAGAGATGGCTTGACGGTGAGGAGTGCTTCCTAGCAACAAGTCCTTCTAATCTACTAGAAACTGGTTTCAAATAGCAAAGTCCTTCAGGTAGGTGTGGTGGCTCACAACTCTAATCCCAGCAGATTTGCTGCAAGCTGAATGCTAGCCTGGACTACACTGTGCTGGTGTATGAGATCCTAACTCAAGGGACAGAAATCTTCCTCTGAAAAGAACAAGTTAATGGACTGGAGACATGGCTCAGTGGTTAAGAGCACTGGCTGCTCTCCTAGGGGACCTGGGTTCAATTCTCAGCACCCACATGGCAGCTCACAACTGTCTGTGACTCCAGTTCCAGAGGATCAGCCACCCTTACACAGACATACATATAGGAAAATATTTAAATAAAATTTAAAATAAATTATAAAAAAGATAAAAGTAAAAATTCAAGTCTTACTTTGTTAAAGCAAATCCAGCAAGTTCTTAAAATAGGAATCCTTGAAATTCAGGAAAAAAAACAAACTGTGTTATTTTAAGGTGAACCACGTAGAACCATGACCAAACCAAAAATAGAATTTTCCTGCCACCCAGACATTCCTCCCTGTTAGCTCACTCAGTCTCAACTCTTCTCTCCACCAAAATTAACTAGGGATTGGCTTCCCTCATAGTAACCTTCAAACCCATCTTCTCAGAGCTTGATCATATCAGGGCCCCAGCCACTACCTGTAGGATTCTAGGCAGGAGCTCTACCACTGAGCCACACCCCCAGCCCCTCACTGGGGAATTCTAGGCAGGGGCTCTACCACTGAGCCACACCCCCAGCCCTTCACTGGGGGATTCTAGACAGGGGCTTTACCACTGAGCCACTCCCCTAGCCCCTCACTGGTAGATTCTAGGCTTGTGCTCCACTGCTGAGAGCCATACCCCCCCAACCACAGTGTGACATTTCAATACATATGCACAGCATGTCATGAGTAAATCATGCTGATTGGCACACCCATCACCTCACGCATATATGATTTCTTTCAGTCTGTGGGGGCAGGGAGGAAGGGATGCAGAGTCCCTTCCCCATGACTTTGCCAGCAGTGTCATCCAACATTAGAATTTTTTTCTTTCTTTTCTTTCTTTCTTTCTTTCTTTCTTTCTTTTTTTTTTTTTTTTGGTTTTATGAGACAGGGTTTCTCTGTTTTGTTTTGGAGGCTGTCGGTCCAGCCCGGCCTCGAACTCACAGAGATCCGCCTGCCTCTGCCTCCCGAGTGCTGGGATTAAAGGCGTGCGCCACCACCACCCGGCTAGAATTTTTTTTTAAGTAGTGTAAATTTAGCATCCAAGAGAATAAAAAACAGCTAATGTGTCAGGAGCTCACCGACTGCAAACACACGCCGGTGTTTCAGAAGGTACTGAGACAAGTGAAGACTTCACCATGGGATGGAGAATTATTTGTTATAGCCAATGAGAGCCACCCCAATAGGTGCAAGCAACCAGACCCACTTTCCTTCAGGCGTCAGGTGCACTATACTTGTCGTGTGAATCAGCTGCACTGAGACAGGTGACAAGACAATTGGGACCTCAGAGAAATCTTTACCTTCTTCCATTCCTTCTCTCTCCTTTTTAAAATTGAAGATGCATTTGTTTATGTATATTTGCATATATGCAAGCATGACAGAAGAGGTTATCGGATCCCATTGTGAGCCACCCTGTGGTTGCTGAGACTTGAACTCAGGACCTCTGGAAGAGCTGTCAATGCTCTTAACCACTGAGCCATCTCTCTAGTCCCTCCCCCTTTTTTTTCCTTTTGAGACAAGCACTCACTATGTAGCCCTGGCTGGCCTGGATGGAACTTTCTGTGGAGTAGACCGACCTTGAACTCATAAAGATCTGCCCAGGACTTAAGGCCTACACCACACCACCCCCACACTTGCCTCCCTGCCTTTCCTTTTTTTCTTAGTTATGTGTGTGTGTTTCTGTGTGTGGGTTTCTGTATATGAGTACATGTGCTTACAGATTCCAGAAGATAACACCGGATTCCTAGGAGGTGAAGTGACAAACATTTGTGTGCCATTCGGTAAGAGTGCCAAGCATTGGTGTGCCATAAACCCAACTGGGGTCTTCCGTGAGAGCAGGTGTGCACTCTTTTATTTATTTATTTATTTTTTATTATGCATACAGTACTCTGCCTGCATTCATATCTGCAGGCCAGAAGAGGGCATCATATCTCATTACAGATGGTTGTGAGCCACTATGTGGTTGCTGGGAATTGAACTCAGGTCCTCTGGAGGAGCAGTCAGTGCACTTAACTGCTGAGCCATCTCTCCAGCCCTGCAGGTGTGCACTCTTAAATGCTGAGCCATCTCCCTGGTCCCACCTGTCTTTTTCCCCTTTCTTTCTTTTCATTTTGAGAGATGTCTCATCCTGTAGCTCAGGCTGGCCCTGAGCGTCTACACCTCCTGCCCCCGCCTTGCCAGCTCTGGGCCTGGGATTGCAGGCTCTCCTATACCCAGCTGTATTATCCTTCTTTCACCATGCATCAGGATGCATCCACACAGAACGTTTACATGCCTTTGTGTGAATCCCCATGTATTACGTTCACTTACAATAGTTTTCATGTTTCCCAATAGTTCCACTTTAAATTTGTTATTATTATTGTTATTATTACGCGAAGTTTTTGCAGACACAGTCTACTTAGCCCAGGCTTGGCTCGAACCCCTGATTCTCTTGCCTCATTCCTCTGAGTGATTAGATTACAGGTGGGTGTGTAAACACCATGTCTGGCTCCTCTTTTTAGAAGCAGGTATTTCTGCCCCCCATCCCCACCCCGTGTGTGTGTGTGTGTGTGTGTGTGTGTGTGTGCATCTTCCCATGTGTGGAGACCAGGGGACAACTTCCCAGTGTTTTCTCCTTTCCCATGTGGTGCCAGGGATGGAGCTTAGGCTGTCTTGGCTAAAAGCCCCTTTGTCTGCCGAGCCATCATATCTGGCAGAGCTACCTTGTTTGTTGCCTTTTAATTGTCTTCATCCCCCGCCCCCCATGATGCTTATTGAACCTAAACATGAACTTCATAACAAAGTCGTCTGGTTGTCGGAGAAACGAAACCCTGATCACCCTGTCCCCGCTTTCTTTCTTCCCTCTTGTCGGGGGTGGCGGGGCCTTGACCGTCGCCTCTTCCTCCTTTCCTCCCCCTTCCTTCTGTTCTCGTTGATGATATCTGTAACGGCGTGGAGATGAGTTTGTGAACGACTGGGGGGCAAGGACCACAGTTCTCTTGGCTTTTATCCTTGGACTCCTGTTGCCACCTGGTGACCGTTGTGTGCAACAGCAGATTTCTAGAATTAGAAAAACCCCCTTGCTCCAAGCAGTAAACATGTAGCTCACACATTTTAAGTGGGTCAAGTATTCACAAGTAGCTTATTTGCGTCATTTTGATTGAAAGACATTGTCCAGATCTGCAGGCATCAGATAGCTTGACTGGTTCTCAAAGATCCCCATATGAGGGTCTCAGTCCCACCCCTGGGAGACAGCACTGGCTCTCAGGGACCAACACAAGACGGTTGGTTATTTGCTTCCACGCCTCAATTCGTGTGTCTCAGCTGAGTTCTTATTGCTATGAAGAGACCCATGACCATGGTAACTCTTCAAAGGAAAGCATTTAATTGGGGCTGGCTTGCAGTGTCAGAGGAGTAGTCCGTGACGTCATGGCAGGAAGCTCAGTGGCATGCAGGCAGACATGGTACTGGAGAAGGATCTTAGCATCCTGCATCTGTATCCCCAGCAACAGAAAGAGACCATGCATGAGCCATTGGCCTGGCTTGAGCATCTGAGAGCTCAAAGCCCACCTACAGTGACACACTCCTTCCAACAGCAAAGCCATAGCTCCTAATAATGCCACTCTCTATGGACCTATGGGGGGCATTTTCTTTTAAACCATAATTCCATGTCTTCTAAGAAGAGAGTATACATGAGGGAGGATGAGGGGAGGGTTCCCAGGATCCGTATTCCAGTTACCTCATCCAATGACACCATCCTTCAGGGACTGGTGACTGTGCCCGCCTCCGTGGTCTGGAGACAAAGAGAGGGACATGTGAGTTTCTCTGGATCATAAGAAATAGAATTGTCCCTCACTGTCATTTTTCATAGCTAAATTATTTTAAAATAGTTGTACGTGAATGGGTGTTTTTCCTGCACGTATGTCTATGGGCCACAAGCATGCCTTGTGCCTATAGAGATCAGAAGAGGCTTCAGATTTCCTGAACTGGAGTTACGGTTGGTTGTGAGCCATCATGTGTGTTCTGGGAATTGAACTCGGCTCCTTTTGAAGAGCAGTCAGGATTCTCAACTGTTGATGCATCTCCCAGCCCACGCGCGTGCGCGCGCGCACACACACACACACACACACACACACACACACACAAATGTAATAAAAAAGACACAAATATTCTGTGCACCAGCCCTACAATTCTTCCTACTTTGTGTTGAGTGGGTCTTGATTACAGGATTTAAGAATAAGAATACATCTAAGAATCCAGAGGCAACCAGTGCAGGGAAGGAATCAAGGAGACACGGCAGGTGAACTGCTGAGGGACTCTGCCATGAAGGACAGCTTCCCAGAGCATCAGGGCCCGGCACCACTGGGAATCCTGCAGAGCCTTCTGAGATGCACTGTGGTCAGGGCACTGTGCAGACGCTCATCTCTAGGTGTTCATCCGTTTCCTTTCCAGACTGTTCCTCTGTCATTCCGTATATGGTCTTTTGTTTGTTTGATTTTTTTTTGAGACAGGGTTTCTCTGTATAGCTTTGGAGCCTTTCCTGGCACTCTCTCTGTAGACCAGGCTGGCTTCGAACTCACAGAGATCTGCTGCCTCTGCCTCCCGAGTGCTGGGGATAAAGGCATGTGCCACTGGTTGACAACTTTTTCTCAGCATACTGATTGTCCAAATTAACTGAGTTTCCAGAGCCTTCCTAGGATGCTGCCAGAAGTGACCAGAAGGAAAGATTTCCTGAACTCCCTACAGGGGTTAGGTCACAGGACACTGACACTTAAAATTCGAGGGACTTGAAATAATGCACCTGACTCTGCTTTTGTTCCAGCAGCAATCGTAACAGAGCCCCGAAGAGTCTAATGTCTAGAAGAAAAGTTTTGGATGCCTACAATTCAAACGACTCCTCTCTTTCAAGGTTTGAAGCTAGGCATGGTGGCTTTTGCCTATAATTCCAGAATTTGAGAGGTTGAGGCAGGAGAATTGCCTCCTGGGTTACATGTAACGACTTCTAGGCTAGCCTGGGAAAGAAAACTAAGCAAACAAAAACACAAGAAACCCTCAAGGCTCAGGGATCTACGCAGGAGAGGAGGCAGAAAGACTGTAGAGCCAGGAGGGATTCGTGACAAGGAAACTGTCTTCAGGCACAGCATGACCGATGCACAAATGAACTCAGTGTCTGTGCAGCACATGCACAGGGCCTGCACAGGTTCAAGCAAGACAAGTCTGCACCTTGAGAGGGCAGGACTAACCGATGAACTATCTGTAACTATACCTGCTGCCAAAGGAAAATCCAGTCTTCTCCAGCGGAGTCTCACTGGGAAAACCCATCAAACCTCAGGGCAGGCCACATGCCCAGCTAAGCTGCCCAAAAGAAAGAGAAGTCAATGGTATTCTTGTGAACGTTTGTTTTATTTTGCAATGTTCTGGGATTTTTTTTTTTGTCTGCAGGCACCCCACTCCCCATACACATGCACACAGGTGCACTACACACACATGTAAATGAAAAAAAAAGGGGGGGGGATGAACCACACTCACTCAATAATTGCTACCGTCACGGGCCATTTGGAACTTCATGGGATTCAAAGAGAGTTCAGCACTGGTGAGGAACAGGATCAACTCAGGCTCATTAATTACAGTAAACATATTTAATATTCTTTAGACTGACGTCTGGTACTATTTAAAACATAAATCTAGATGGGAGGTGATAGTGGACGCCTTTAATCCCACTACTCAGGAGGGTGCAGCATGTGTTTGAATTCTAGGCCACGGTTTCACTATGTAGTCCTAGCTGAGCTCCTCCTAGCTCAGTCTCACGGACACCCAGGCTTTGCCTGTCCATTGGCTGGCTTAAAGGGCATGTGCTACCACCTCCCGCCAAGTTGGTTTTCACTAGATGAACTGCCCTCTCTATTATCATGGCAATGTTCTTCGTCCCCATCTACCTCTGCTTGAAAATCGACTTGAGTCTTCTCTTGACTACTGTGGAGAGGGTCACTTTGAATCTGCCAGAGTACTTATCTTTAACATATTTTCTGTAGCTAACACATAGTTTGGTCTGATTTATTTTCAAATCTGACAATCTATACTTTAGGCATTTGGGCCATGTATAATTCGTTTAATGCGATTAGCGGTCTTAGCAGGAACGTGTCCTGTCCTGAAATTGGTTTCCTATCATGTTCGAGAATGAAAAAAAATTGTGTAAATATGAAACAAGAAAAGTGACTTGGAAACTTCAACAGTGTCGTGTTACCACAACAGTAGACTTCTCTGAAGTCTGATGTTACCTACACTGGTTTAAAACCAGCCAATCCTCTAGTTCAGTCTCTTCAAAGTCATCACGGACCCTACCCTCGTGGCACAGCGAGGAGGAAGCCTACCGCGGGGGTGTCGGGCAAAGCGTAATCAAAGCAGTTGTGTCCGGATCTGATTTTACCCCAGTTCTGCACCTAAACTGTACTCTCCATAGGCGAGATTACAAACTACCTGCGGAACCCGGAAGTGCCTTTTGATCACACGAGGGCGCCGCCCCTTTAAGCGCGCACCCCCGTGGGAACTCCCACAAGCCTCTGGGGCAGCTCCCAGACCGGCTGGCCCGCGTTGCATGCCGGGATCTCGCTGAGCCGCAGAGCGCCCGCCTTCCGCGAGTTCAGGACCCCGGGACTACGTTTCCCAGGAGCCACCGCGCCGGACGTAAACCATCAACTTCCGTTGTCCTGGCGGCGCTCCCGCGGACGGTCAGAGCTCTCTGGTGTCGTACTTGGCTGAGTGAGGACTGTGCTATGTGTGGGTGAGTGTGTGTATCTGTGTGTGCGCGTGTCTCTGTGTGCGTGTGTGTGACTGTGTGTGCGTGTGTGACTGTGCGCGCGTGTGCGCGTCTCGAGCTCTCCGGTGCCGGTGTCCCCGCGCTCGTCGCTCTCCGCTCCCGCTTCCTCGCCGTCACGGGGCTGAAGCAGGGGACCAGGCTTCAGGAGCGAGAGCTCAGGGACGGAGTCTGGGGGAAGCTTTCCCTGAGCTCCACACTTGAGCTCGGGCCGAGCACTGGAGGCCGCCAGCGTCCCCGAGGGTCGCCCAGGAGGGCGGCTACTTGTTGCGTCCGTAACTTTCTCAGAGCTGTGGGCACCGTGAGTGTCGCGGGAAGGGAAGGGAGTGCGCTGGGGTGTGTGGTCTGGGGTCTCACGAGAGCTCGCTCAGGCTCCCCGAGTCCGCCATTGTTCAAAAGGAGGGAGGGACTGGAGCGGAGTGCGAGCATCATTGCTGCACACCCAAGATTCAAGAGTGAGTGGCTCCTTCTTTGTGTTTGAGAAACGAGGTCGTAGTGTTAGAATAGCGTTGTCGGTACGTGAAGACGGAATGCGTAAATCAATGTCTCCATCCTTGTGTTTACATTGTCTCCCCCTTTCCACTCAATATTCATAGAATCGTTTCAGAGATCCTGACGCCTTCTCTCTACAATCAGTCCGTTTCCCCAAGGTGTTAGAGGTAGGGACCTCCAGAGGTTAGTGTTATGATAAAGCTTGAGGGGGAACTTGCGTGGCGGACCTTAGCGGATTCCATGGAGGGTGAGGGTGACCGAGGTGGAGGGACAAACATGCCCAGCAGACAGAGCTTAGTGAGAAGTTTCATTAGAAATGGAAGGGGTGGCGGAGGAGGGCGGGGAGGGGGATGCAGAGACAGAAGACAAGACAGGAAAAGCCCTGTCTGCCCCAGGGAACAGCGGGAAAGAGCAGTGGGGAAGAGCATCAGGGCAGGGTCTTCCTTTTGAAGGGGTCCTTTGCACCTGGGCTGACCAGGGTACTGGCTGAGTACATTCTGCCAGGTGACAGGGGCAGCCCAGCATAACGTCAAAGCCTTACAGTTAGCCTTACGGCTTCCAAGCTGTGATTTGCTAAATCGATTACTGTATCGATGACATACATCAAGTGGTCTTTGACCTTTTAAGGCCTTCCTTTCAAAGCAGGGGGAAACATGGAGGTGGTAGGCGATTTCTAATCACGATCGAGGATTTTGGAAAGTGACAGCACAGAATTTGGCATCTTTGAGGGCTGGTGATTTTCAGGGTGTCTGTGGAAACGGGTGTGCGATGCTGTGGTTAGACGTGGGGATGTGGATCTGTGGTGTCTGGTTGGAATCTTGGTTCTGTCCCCTTCTGGCTCTGTAGCCCTGTCATGAACCTTAGAGTGACGGTTGTGAAGCCTGTTAGTGCAGTGCCAGCTGTATAGTAACGGCCTGATGTGTTTTAGTTGTTGCTTTGTGTGGTCATTTGGGGTTCATTCTCTTTAGTTTTCTGTAGTACGAGGGAAGGTTAGAAATTACTGGTTGTATTTTTACGAAATTGAATGAAAAGAAAAAAGTCTTTTAATCCCAGCACTGGAGAGGCAGAGGCAGATGGATCTCCGTGAGTTCGAGTCCTGCCTGGTCTACAAATCAAGTGCCAGGACAGCCTCCAAAGCTACACAGAGAAACTGTGTCTTGGAAAGAAAAAACACAAAAAACCAAGAAGAAGAAGAAGAAAAAAGAAAACAGCTAGACGTCATGGTGCTTACTTTAAGTCTCGGCACTGGAGAGGCAGATGCAGGAGGATGCTTGTGAACCAGTGGTCGTCACAATGAGACCCAGCCTCAAAGTCAAGAAGGAAAAGAAAGTGGATGTAGTAGAGCAGACTTTGTTTAAAATTTGAGATAAAAGGTTTTTTTTTTTTTTATCCTTGTGGGAGGGGAATTCAAGACCGGATTTCTCTTTGTAACAGTCTTGGCTGTCCTGGAACTTGCTGTGTAGACCAGGCTGTCCTGGAACTCACTGAGATCTGCCTGTGTCTGACTCCTGAGTGCTGGGTTTAAAGGTGTGCGCCACCCCTGCCAGCTGGATGAAATTTCTTGTATTGTGTAAAGCACGTGGAGTCCTGATGTCCTTTGGGATTGCTAAATCTACGTGCCACATTTTTGTAGTGTGTGCATTTGATATCTACTGAGTCTTGAAAACCGTCAGTCACAGTCACTGTATTGCTTGAGGTATCTGGAAGTCGTGTTGTGTAGCTGAAGTTGTGCAGCCCTTGATCGGCGTCTTCCCAAGTCCATTACGGATCCCCATCTCTCACTGTCAACCGCGACGCTGTGCGTCCAGCCTCAGACACTCATAACCCCATTACCCACCTTTTACTTGTTCCTGTGAGATAGCATCTTCAGATTCTGCATGGAGATCATGGGTGTTTGTCTTTGGAAATCATGGAAATAGGGAAATCAATGGTACCTCCTGTGACAGCATGTTTTGTAACTAATACTTTAGAGGCAGGGGAAGGTGGATCTCTGAGTTCCAGGCGAGTCTGGTGTGTGATGTGAGTTCTAGTACAGCCAGGACTACACAGAGAAACCCTGTCTCAATAAACAAAACAAAATAAAATTCACTGTTTAGTAAATACAACCTGAGCCATAATCATAGATGAGCGAAGGCAGTCAGAGGGTGTTCCATGGTGTACGACTCCATTTACTAAAAGCGGGTACAGAATGCTGAACACTGCCTGAGGATTGCAGCTGCAGACCCTCAGCCTTGCTGTGCCTCACTCAGCCCTGAGTGTTCAGAGGAGTTACCGTTCAGTTGCCGTCTCCCTGTCAGCCCTGAGGGTGGGATTCCGGTGGGAAGATCTGCTTACGGTTGGGGCTAGCTGCCTGTCAGAAGGAACGTGGGGTCCCCCCTGCTGGCATCTTCTGGGGACTTCTCGGCAGGCGTGCCTGTGCTCTGCATGTCCGCACTGAGTCCTTGTCAGTGGCTTGTCTGGGTTGGGACAGAGTCGGCTTGTGTGGACTCCTGTCTGCTTCTGTTTGTGAGTGGGTGGCTATGAGCGGTGGACAGGAGTGTGTGAGTGCGGATGCCTGGAAATAAACGTGGTCAGTGAAGCAATGCTGAACCGAGTCAGTCTGGGAACATCAAGTGACAACCCAATGAAGACTGTCTTTTTGTCCCCCAGGGGAGGACCCTGAAGAAGAATGGCCAGCTCTGGTTCTCAAGACATGGTCTGTGTAAGTTACGTTCTCTCTTTACATAGGGTGACTTTGAGGTTAGGTGACTCTGCTGTCTTTCTCTCGTGAAGCTTCCCCAGGACCCACAATCCTCCAGCCCAGGCTGCCCTGTTCCTCTCAGTGAGGGTTGGAAGGTCAGAGTACTTCCTGTCTGCCTCTTTCCCGATGCTTCTGGAGTTTTCTGAGTGCATCCCTGACCACCTGCTGTCTGCTTGGTCTGTGGTCAGGGAGCAGTGTCCTTGCAGTGGGGGCCAGAGTCCCACAGGGAAGCAGGGTCTTTGGGGTTCAGAACGTTGAGGTGATTCACTGGGAATCCTGATTGGCATCTTTGGTGTGTTCAGGCTGATGACACGGGTTTGAGAGTGAATGTCCTGGGTGCATGTGTGTGAGGAGATGACCTGCTTGAGGGTCTTTAAGAGAGAGTTCAGTGGTGAGGGGGACAGGTCATCCAGGCTGCGATTGGAGGGGACAGCAGTCTCCAGAGTTCAGGGAGACCTGAGACACATCATCATCTTGAACGCAGTCAGGCGCCTTGAGCGTTTCCATGGCTCCTTTCCCACTCTGGAGTCCTTTACCTTCTGTTTCTCCATCTTGAAGAGGCTTCCACAATTTCACTCTGCTGTGTTTGTGGTTTCAGGGCTCAGTGACATTTGGGGATGTGGCTGTTGACTTCTCTCAGGAGGAGTGGGCCTGCCTGGATGCTACTCAGAGGGTCTTCTACAGGGACATGATGTTGGAGACCTACAGCAACCTGGTCACAGTGGGTAAGGCCATCTGTCCGCATGAGTGGGGGATGTGTCCTCTACACTGTTGGCTTTCCTTATTCTGAATGAACAGACAGGGCCATCTTTCCTGTGGTAGCTGACGCTGGGCTTGGTGGCCCATTCCTGTCATTCCTTCACTCAGAAGGCTGAGTCAGGAGTAATTGTCAGTTCAAAGTCACCGACAGATATATAGTGAGTTCCAGGGTAGCCTTGTCTGCAGATGGGGCCCTGTTTCAAACAAAACAAAGAAAATGAAATCAATAAGTATATAAAGCAATAAATATAATTAGGGTTGGAGAAGTAGCTTGGCTGTTAAAAGAACTAGTTGCTCTTGCAGAGGGCCTGGGTTTATTCCCACCAGCATAAGGTGGCTCAGAACCATCTCTACTCGACGGCCAGTGGTTCTGATGCTCTCTTCTGTCCTTCATGGTCTCCATGCATGTATGTGGTGCTCAAATATACACCTACACGTGCACAAAATAAAGTCAATTCAAATAGGTAGAATTTTAAAGCTGTAACTGAGCTCCTCCTTCTTCCCAAAGGAGTAATGTGGGGTTTCCTTGGGTGAAAACAGGGGCTTCATGAAGCACCTACCTTTTGTCCACACCTTGGAGATCCTTTCAGTGAGCTCTGGGTTCAGAGAGACCCTGTCTCGAAAACCAGAGTGGGGAGCAATCAAAGATGGCACCTCACACTGCTCTCTGTCCTGTTCACACACACATGCATGCATTCCTACACACGCCTGTGCACACACCCTCATAAAAGCATACATACCTTGTACATCCATGCATACACAACTAAATGAAAGAGTCTTTATGTTTCACTTCGTAATGAATCAATAGGATTTGATTCAAAACAGAAGTCGACCCATTCTGTTTCCCTCAAGAAACATATCCTTTACCCGCTTTGTTGTGGACGTTTCAGGCTGTGAATTTGTCTGTTTCATTGAGAAAATCTGAAAGAATGAGGTGTAAATGTGAAAGAAGTTAACTTAAATCACAATAATGCTGATACTTTTTATGGTTGGGGATGTGACTCAGCGGTAGAGCACTGCTCAGCATGCCCAAACCCTCATTCCATCCCTAGCATACTACATACATTAATGGAAATTAAAAAAATAATGGTTTTGTGTTACTGTAGGTCAGACGGTGTTCAGAATATTTGAATATAGTGTTTAATCTCAGTATCAACACTATCTAATATGTCAGTAACTCAGTCTAAATTATTATTATTATTTCTTTTTTTGTGGGGACTTTGGGCTTGCTATGAAACCTAGCTGGCCTTGAACTTCTTGTCTGCCTGTTTCCATCCCCCCACCCCCCAAGTTTTATGAAGTGCTACCATGCCCAGGTTTTTTGTTTGTATATTTGTTTGTTTTTGTGATAGGGTTTCTATGTGTAACAACCTTAGTTTTCCCTGGAATTTGATTTGTACGCCAGGTAGCCTGGAAACCACAGAGTTCTGTCTGCCTGTGACTCTCGAGTGCTGGGTATAAGACACTTGCCAACACGTCCAACTCCATACACAGTTTTTTTTTTTTTTTTTAAGATTCATTTATTATATATACAGTGTTCTGCCTGCATGTGTCCCTGCAGGTCAGGAGAGGGCACCAGATCTCACTACAGGTGGTTGTGAGCCACCATGTGGTTGCTGGGAATTGAACTCAGGACCTCTGAAAGAGCAGCCAGTATTCCTAACCTCTGAGCCATCCCTCCAGCCTCCCCCATACACAGTTTTTATGGTAGGAAAATTGTACATAGAATTGAATGGTACCTGACTAAATAAATGACTTTCTTAGTGAGCTGCAGAGATGGGGTTTACACTAGACAGTGTAGCCTAAGGGTTCATGTTCTCACCCAGTATATATACTTAATTTCCTCTTATGTGACAAGCCCTGATCTGTATTTCAGTGAGATTAAAACAGCTCGTTTCTTACCCAGGTGTCTTCTACTTATCTGAAGTCTTTCCTCAGTATTATTTTTAATATGGTTTTTATCTGTTAATGCAATATAAGGGGCTTGCTAGGCAACCTAGACTGGTCTGGTTCATTCCTCCAGCTGCTGGGCTCACAGGCATGGTCCACCATGCCAATTTGTAATAAGTCTGTATTTTTAAAATCTGCACAGACAACACAGGGTGGCGCACGCCTTTAATCCCAGCATTTGGGAAGCAGAGGCAGGCAGATGAAGTAAGTTCAAAGTCAGCCTGATTATATATCAATTCTAGGACATCCTGGGATAACAAGAGAGAGGGGGTCTCAAAAACAAACAAACAAAAAACAAAACCACCCAGAAATGTCTGCATCATGTGTCCCTTTTTTCTTTCTTTTAAGTGGGAAGTTCCATCTCCAAACCCCACCTGATCACCTTATTAGAGGAGGAGAGAGAGCCCTGGATGGTGGTGAAGGAAGAAACAGACAGCCCCAGCCCAGGTGAGTGACAAGTCAGGGCTCCAGCACTGCCAGACACAGCGTGGTCGGAGAGTCACCTCATGCCTGACACTGGGTTGACACACTTCCTTCAGAGCGCCAAGACCACAGCCAAGACCTGGGAACGAAGTCACGGTCATAGCAAAAGCTGTCACGGGGGCTTCTAGTTCATGAGTCACTGAGTCGTTCTCATCTCCTCCCTCTTACTGGGGCAGTTACCCTCTTTCTCATTTTAAATGTATTTTATTGTTGGTTGTGTGTGTGTGTGTGTGTGCACATGTGTGCAGGTACCCACAGAGACTGTCAGCTCCCCTGGGGCTGGAGTTACAGGTGGCTGCTGATACTTGAACCCAGGTCCTCTGGATGTGCAGTCAGTGATCTTAACTGCTGATGCAGTGATGAGATACTTTGACACCAGTGAAGGCAGTACTCCAGTGAGGCCCAGCAAGCATTTACATCTGTGTCTTCATAGTCACTCTCATCAAGGTGTGATGGAGTAGCTGGTGCTGCTTTCTCACTGCAGCACTGGGGAGCTGGAAGAGGCGGATCTCAGCCTGCTTTATTTGACATGCTCCAGGCAAATGAGAGACTATTGCTGCGGGGGGGGGAGCTGGGGAGGGGAGGGGGCGCATCCTCCAGCAGCACAGGACCCAAAGGGAAATCCACAGCATCAGCACTACTAAGACTTTTTATCTGAGGGGTTTAAGGGTAAAAGACACTCACATTCTCTCTTGATGATTTCCTTCTTTATTCTCTATTCTTTTTCTGTGTTCTTTCTACTGTATATTTTTCTTCCTTAGCTTAGCTATCCAAAGCTTTTCAGGCAATACAGGAATTACAATGTGGTTACATTTTGTTTTTCAAGTGAATGATTGCAATGAATATAAACCAAACAGTAAAAAACAGCATGGTTTCCATATCCTTTACATGACTAAACATTTTATGTATTACAGGTGAAAAACAAGTTATCCCAAGAATCCATGTACATTCATACACAAGCAACTTGTAGATTATATGTGTGGGCAAGCAAGATATTCTCATTCAGGTCTCTTACTGGCAGGCTATGTTTTACAGTTACAAAGAAAGGGCCGCTGGGCGTTGGTGGCGCACGCCTTTAATCCCAGCACTCGGGAGGCAGAGGCAGGCGGATCTCTGTGAGTTCGAGGCCAGCCTGGTCTACAGAGCGAGTTCCAGGCCAGCCTGGTCTATAAGAGCAAGTTCCAGGACAGCCTCCAAAGCAATACAGAGAAACCCTGTCTCGAAAAACCAAAAAACCAAAACCAAAACCAAAATAAAAAAAATCCCCACATCTCCCAACATTAAGGTTAAAAGAAGGTATGCATGTTGTTGTGTATATATGTATATGTATACAATATATATATATATATTTACATGTTATATACATATACATACAGATATATGTATATGCACACATATATGTGTATGCAGGCATTCATAGAAATATAAAATGAAAATAAAGGAGTCATCAACAACAAAAACCTGAATAAATTGCAACAGCAGCAATAACCCACCCAAAATAAAACAGCTGAAAATAGTAAATGAACTAATTGATAACATTCTGCCTCATGTGCTGTGTTTATATCTACAACCAGATGTTTAAACACTTTTTGTCAAGCTGTTTGATTATAAGTCACTAATTTGACACTTGATTCTAAGTATTTCGTGCATCCAATGGTAGGGTATTATCCACAACAACCTTCCATCAACCCTAGTTAATGTGACCAACCTGTTATTATCACACTAAGAAAATTATTTCTGGGGGATCTGTACAAATTCAGTTTTCTTTCTGGGTTTTTCCCATTTTGATGGACATTTTTGTTTTGATTTTAGTTTTGTGAGCATTTCCTAAATATATTTATTATGTTTCCTTCATCTCTTTTTATTCCCATTTTTACTGAGATTAGATTTTTTTTTCCTTACAGAATATATGCTGCTTATGACTTCACATCCCTCTGCTAACCCAGTTTCTTCCCTCCTATGTGGATTCACCCCATTTCTCTCTTCTTGGAAAACAGACATGTTTCTAAGGGATAATAATATAATAAAATAAAATAGGCTAAAACAAAAATAACACATTGGTGTTGGACAAAACAAACAGAAGGGATATCACCCGAGAAACAGACACACACTTGTTTGCACACTCATGAATCCATACGAACACTAACCTGGAGGCCATAATGAATTTATGTGCAAAGGACTTGGTGCGGGTTGGGTGGTGTCGGCCCTAGGCATGCCGCCTCAGTGTCTGTGGGATCATAATAGGCTTTAATTACATTGATTAGCGGCCTTGCTTTCTTGGTGTCTTCCTTCTCTCTGGCTTCTACACTGTCTCTTCCCACCTCTTCTTCCACAGGGTTCCCTGAGTCGTGATGGGAGGGATTTGATGGAAACATCCCTTTTAGGGCTGACTGTCCCAAGGTCTCCCATTCTTTGCATAGCATGTGGCTATGGGTCTCTGTATTGTCCTAGCTGCTGCAGAAGCAGGCTTCTCTGATGGTGGCTGAGCAAGGCACTGATCTGAGTATAGTACAGTGTCATTAGGACCCATTTTGTCTTTGCTTTTGCTTTCTAAAACAGTAGTATTTAGTTTTACCCTGGACTGTCTAGTCCCAGGTTCTTGGTCACTCACTCATTCAGTGTTGAGAATGGGTTTCATTTCATGGAATGACCCTTATGTCAAATCATGTATAGATTGGTAACTTCCACAAGCATTGTGCCACTATGACCCTAGCTTCTCTTGTACACAGGGCACTATTGTTATTCCAAGGGTTTGTGGGTGGCTTGGTGTTTATGTTTCTCTTTTGGTAGTGTGCATAAGTACCTTATTATACCAAAGATCTGGAACAGGGTTGAAGACTCAGTGTCAGCAACAGCTTGACTTCTCTGTGTTCAGTAAGTTGAGTAGGTATTGTCTTAAGCAATGGGCCTTCTCAGTTTATGGAGAACAATCTGTTGTATGCTTTTTGGTGGGGATGGGGGAGAGGGGAGGAGGGGTTCCCATGGTGCCCTTTTGGCCAACAACTCAATTAGATGTAAGCAAACACTGGTACTGGAAGCTCATTTGGTGATGAGATTAACAAGTGGGTCTCTGTTTCCCCGTTATTTGGAATTTCAGTCAGATAGCCTTCATATATGTCTATAGTTTAGGAAGCTTCTGTTTTATTAGATTTCCATACTACTCTTCAAATGACCCTTAATTTTAGCTGACTCTCCTCATATTTTCTCCATTGCCCCACTCTCCTCTTTCCCCATTTGATCTTTCCCAGACCCCCTCCCATCCATCCATTACTATCCTATTACTTTTTCTAATGAAATTTATGTGTCACCTTAATAATTCTGTTGACAAATATGGTTGAGCAACTGTTTCTGGTAGGATGAGCTGTCCTAGTACAGCTGGATTTTGAGATGATAATCTTCCTGAGGAACCACCACTCAATTCCCATAGTAGCTGTACGAGTTTCTATTCCTACCAACAGTGGAGGAGTGTTCCCCTTTACTCCACATGCATGAGCAGTCACTTGTTTTGTTGATCTTAGTTATTCTGACAAGTGTAAGGTGAAAGCTCATAGTAGTTTTTATTTGCATTTCTTTGATGTCCACGGATGTTCAGCATTTCTTTAAGTGTTTCTCAGTCATCTGAGTTTTCTCTTTGAGAATGCTCTGTTTCGATATTGACTCCATTTTTAATTGGGTTATTTGTTTTCTTGATATCTAGCTTTTATGTAGTCAGTAGACTTTCAGGTACTCTAATGAAGAAGTATGGACAGAGTGGACAATCTTGCCTTGTTGCAGATTTTAATGGTATTGAATTTCTTTCCATTTAAGTTGATGCTGGCTATAGACTTGCTGTACACTACTTTTATTATGTTGAGGTGTGTCCCTTGTATCTCTAACTTCTCCAGAACTTGTATCATGAAGTGGTGTTGAAAATTTGCCAAAAGCCTTTTCTGAATTTAATGAGATAATCCTATGGCTTTTGTCTTTCTGTTTGTTTATATGGTGTATTACATTTGTTCATTTATATATGTGAAACCAACCCTTCATTTCTGGGCTGAAGCCTACTTGATTATGGTGGATGGCCTTCCTGATGTTTTCTTATATTTTGTTTGCAAGTACTAAAATTTTTTTCTGTGTTCAATGGGGAGACTGGTCTGTTATTCCCTTTGTTGGGTCTTGATGTGGTTTGGGTATCATGGTGCCTGTGGCCTTGAAAAGGGGATTGGGCAATATTCCTTCTCTTTCTCTTTGAGGAATAATTTGAGGAATATTGGCCTGAACTCTCCCTTGGAAGTTTGATAGAATTGTACACTGAAACTGTCTGGCTCTGGACTCTTATTGGTTGGGAGACTTTTAATTACTGATTGCATTTCACTAGGAGTTACAGGTGTGTTTAAATTGCTTTTCTTTTTTTTTTTTTTTTTCGAGACAGGGTTTCTCTGTATTGTTTTGGAGTCTGTCCTGGAACTCGCTCTTGTAGACCAGGCTGGCCTCGAACTCACAGAGATCCGCCTGCCTCTGCCTCCCAAGTACTGGGATTAAAGGCATGCGCCACCACCGCCCGGCTAAATTGCTTTTCTAATCTTGATTTAACTTTGGTAAGTGGTATTTATTGAAAGAATTACCAATTTCTTTTAATTTTCCAATTTGTTGGAATATAGGCTTTTAAAGTATGTCCATATGATTTTCTGGATTTCCTTGGTGTCTGTCTTAGGGTTTTATTGCGGTGAAGAGACACCATGGCCATGTAACTCTTAGAAAAGGAAGCATTTAATTGGAGCTATCTTACAGTTTAGAGGTTTAATCCATTATCTTCATGGCAGGAAGCATGGTGGTGTGCAGGCAGACATGGTGCTATGGGAGAAACTCTGATTTTTTTTTTTTTTTTTTTGGTTTTTCGAGACAGGGTTTCTCTGTATTGTTTTGGAGGCTGTCCTGGAACTCACTCTGTAGACCAGGCTGGCCTTGAACTCACAGAGATCCGCCTGCCTCTGCCTCCCGAGTGCTGGGATTAAAGGTGTGCGCCACCAACGCCCGGCTGAAACTCTGATTTCTGTATCTTGATCCACAGTAGCAGGAAGAGAACTGATGACCCAGTAGGTCTGGTTTGAGTTCCAGAGACCTCAAAGGCCCCCTGCATGCCAATGACACAACTCCTCCAACAAGGCCACGCCTCCCTACAGTGCCAGTCCTTATGAGCAAGCATCCAAGCACATGAGTCTAGGAGGCCTTTCCTTTCCAAACCATCACTGTGTCTGTTGATATTCCTTTGTCATCTCTCATTTTCTTCCTTTGTATCTTCTTTTCCCTCCTTTTAGTTACTTTGGTGAAGGGTTTGTTGGTCTTACTGGTTTTCTCAAAGAACAACCATTTTATTTTATTGATTCCTTATAATTTTTTTGTTATTGTTGTCTCTATTTTACTAATTTCAGTCCTTAATTTAATTATTCCGTGCCATCTATCCTTTTGAATGTAATTTTGTCATTTTGTTCTAGAGCTTTCATGTGTGGTGTTAAGCTGATGGTATGAGATTGCTCTAATTTTTTTACAGTGGCAATTACTGCCATGGAATTTTGCTGGGATATTTTTAGCGTTAGCATATTCTTTCATGGAGATAGCCACTTCTTCTATCATGCCTTCAATGTCTGAGATTCCCATCTCTTGATTTCTGTTGGTGAGGCTTGCCTCTGAGCTTCCTGTGTGAGTCCCTACACTTCTCCCTTCCTGACATGGCTCAGTTTAAGTTCCTCATTGATTCCTTCCAATGTTTGTATTCCATAGATTTAAGGGCTTCACTCATTTCCTCCTTAATGACCTCTACCATATTTATAAAGGGCTTTGTAGTGCCTTTTTCTTGTGTGTTGCAATATTCAGGTCCAGCTATGGTAGGGTTGCTGGACTCCAATGCTGACATGCCATTGTTTTTAAGCTGGCATTTAGCCATCTGGGTTTGGGACGATTGTAATTCTAGATGCTGGTATCTGGTCATGTCTTTTTTTTTTTTTTTTTTTTTTCGAGACAGGGTTTCTCTGTGGCTTTGGAGGCTGTCCTGGAACCAGCTCTTGTATACCAGGCTGGTCTCGAACTCACAGAGATCTGCCTGCCTCTGCCTCCTGAGTGCTGGGTTTAAAGGCGTGTGCCACCAATGCCCGGCTCTGGTCATGTCTTTGTTGGGTGAGAGTTTTTGTTCTTTGGCTTCTGTTCTTAGGAGAGTGTGGTAGCTGTATGTTTTTGGTAGAAAATTTTTGGGGGATCCTGACAGGTGTGGCCATGGGGGTTCCAGGTAAAATGTGTTTCTAGGTATTGGGAGCTGACACAGGAATGGGGTTGGGCTAGGTGGGTGTTGATGAGGAGGTCCACAGAGGAAGGAAAGTACATGTTGCACTAGGGTCTGCTTAGTGCCCTGGGAATAGAGGCAGAAAGTGAGGAGAGGTCACAGGAAGTACTCTGCTACTGAGCTGGGGATGAGACTGGGTGGGGACTGGACTTGGAGGAACAGAGGGAGAGGTGAAGATCTGCAGGTAGCCCACCCGTTTCACTGAGTACTCTAAAGACTGGGATACAACAGTTCATTTTTGGGCAGACATTCATAACAGGGCCATCAGGTTAGGGTTGGCTTTTATGTCCCCTCACTTTCAAAAACCTTCACTGAAGGGTGTGTGTTTCCAGTAGTATGTAAAGAGGCATATAAAATTATTTCACTATACTTACTTATAATCTTGTTAAGCAAACATACCTTCCCATTTCTAACCTGTCCAACTTTTATTATTGCTGCTCAACTTGCTCCTGTTCACCTTATCAGAAACTATGCTAGAGTCTGACCATTCATGTAAGGTGTGTGTGTGTGTGTGTGTGTGTGTGTGTGTGTGAGTGAGTGAGAGAGAGAGAAATAATGAATTTCTCCTTTTCTTTCAGAATTGGAGTCATGTTATGAAGCTGAAAGTATATCTTCAGAGAATCATATGTATAGTACAGATTTACCCAAGCAGACCATAAAGCAATTAAGTAAAACTTTTGATCTCCTGGGCTCCAGTTTTAGTAATGGCCTCAACTCTAGTACATTCAAGGGATTACAGAGTTATCAAGGAGATGCTGATCAGAAGATTAGTAACAAGGAAAAACTGCCTACTTACACCTGCAAAACTCTGACTCACAGTATAGAAAAAGCATATGAATGTAAAGAGTGTGGGAAATACTTTGGTTGTAGTTCAAATCTTATTCAGCATCAGAGTATTCATACTGGAGAGAAACCCTATGAATGTAAGGAATGTGGGAAAACCTTCAGACTCCACCAACAACTTACAAGACATCAGAAGTCTCACAGTGGTGAGAGACCTTTTGAATGTGACGAGTGTGGAAAGGCCTTTCATCTTCCCAACCTGCTTAAGTACCATAAAACCATCCATTCAGGTACAAAACCATTTGAATGTGAGGAATGTGGGAAGTCCTTCAATCGTGTCTCCACTCTTTTTCAACATAGGATCATTCATGCTGGTGTGAAACCGTATGAATGTCATGAGTGTGGGAAAGCCTTTAATCGTCGCTCAAACCTCATGCAACATCAGAAAATTCATTCTGGCGAGAGACCCTTTCAGTGTAAGGAATGTGGGAAGGCCTTCACTGTCCTGGCACAGCTCACTCGGCACCAGAACATTCATAGTGGAGAGAAATCTTTTGAATGTGAGCAGTGTGGAAAGATATTCAGTAGCGGCTCATACCTTGCACGACACCAGAGTATTCATACTAGTGAGAAACCCTTTGAGTGTAATGTATGTGGGAAGACTTTTAGGCTTCACCTGTATCTTTCTGAACATATGAAAACTCACACTGACGAGAAACCTTTCAAGTGTAAGCTCTGTGGGTCAGCCTTCAGACGTAAGTACCAGCTTAGTGAACATCAGAGAATCCATACTGATGTGAAACCCTATCAGTGCAAGGAATGTGGGAAAAACTTTCGCCGACGTTCAAATTTTACTGAACATCAGAGTATCCACACTGGAAAGAAACCTTTTGAATGTAAAGAATGTGGGAAAGTCTTTAGACTTAATATACATCTCATTCGACATCAGAGATTTCATAGTGGTGAGAGACCTTTTGAATGTAAAGAATGTGGAAAGGCTTTTCATTTTTCCAGCCAGCTTAATTACCATAAAACCATTCATACAGGTCAAACACCTTTTGAATGTGAGGAATGTGGGAAGTCCTTCAAGCGTGTCTCTAGCCTTGTTGAACATAGGATCATTCATGCTGGTGTGAAACCGTATGAATGTAATGAGTGTGGGAAAGCCTTTAATCGGCGCTCAAATCTCATGCAACATCAGAAAATTCATTCTGGTGAGAGACCCTTTCAGTGTAAGGAATGTGGGAAGGCCTTCACTGTCCTGGCACAGCTCACTCGGCACCAGAGCATTCATAGTGGAGAGAAGTCATTTGAATGTGAGCAGTGTGGGTCAGCTTTCAGACTTCAGTACCAACTTACTCAACATCAGAGAATTCATACCGATGTGAAACCTTTTCAGTGCAAGGAGTGTGGAAAGGGCTTTATTCGTGGTACAGGCCTTAGAATCCATGAGAGAATCCACACTGGTGAAAAGCCCTTTCAATGTAAGGAATGTGGAGAAGCCTTTCAATATCATTACCAATTTCTTGGACATTTTAGAATTCATACTGGCAAGAATCCTTATGAATGTACACAATGTGGGGAGTACTTTACTCGTGGAGGAGATCTTAAAGTACATCAAAGAATTCACACTGATGAGAAACCTTACCAATGTTAAGAATATGTGAAGCCCATTAGTTGAAAATCAAGCTTGGTTTGACATGCTAATATTCATATTAATAAGCCTTATGATGTAAGGAATGTGTAAAGACTTCAGTAATTTTAAGATAGCCTTATATTAAAGAATTCATTATGGTGAGAAACCCTATGAATGTAAGAATTGGAGAAAATGTTTTATTTTTTTCAGCCTTTACTGCACAGTGGAGAATTCATACTGGTATGAAACTTATCCATGTAAAACATGTGGAAAGCCCTTCAATTTGTGCTCAGGCCTTCAACATAAAAGAATCCATGCTGGTATGAAGCCCTACCAATGCAAGGAACGTGGGAACGTCATAGAATTAGTTCAGCTCTTAAGCCTCATCAGAGAGTCCTTATAGGTCTGAAACCCTGTGAATGTAAAGAATGTGTGGAAGCCTTTATTGTAAGTGATGAGCCTATACAACATCAGAAAATCCATCATCCTCAGGAGTCCTGTGCATGTAAGGAAGGTGAACAAATTTTTTTGTTTGTTTTTGTTTTAGTTTTTTTTTTTTCGAGACAGGGCTTCTCTGTATTGTTTTGGAGGCTGTCCTGGCACTCACCCTGTAGACCAGGTTGGCCTCGAACTCACAGAGATCCGCCTTTCTCCGCCTCCCGAGTGCTGGGATTAAAGGCATGTGCCACCAACGCCCATAATAAGTCTTTGTATGGAAATTTTACTGCACATCAGAGGACTCATTGGCAAGATTGTGATGGAAAAGTATGTGGGAAGAATTATAATTTGCCCTATTGGTCAACATCAGAGTATTCGTATACTCATGATGCTGAGAAATCCTCAGAGAATGAGAATGTGGGAAGGCTGTTATTCATGATGCTCTGTTGAGAGTATCCTTGACTGTCAGAAGTATAGGGTGGCCATCATGTTCTTAATTTACTCTCATCTTGTTAATTCTATAAAATTAATTCAAACAGTACTCAACCAACATAGGGAGAGCAGGATTATTTGAGGTACCTTCCTTGTCATCATTAATATCTCATGGCTCCTGTGATATTAGGCACAATGTTTACTTTCTGCCTAATTTGTTAATGACAATCACAATACCAGACAAAGTTGTAAAAGAATATTTGGTTCCTGCCTGTGTTCTATAAAGTGGCTTTTACAGTGTTCTTGCTTTTATTGCCATCCCTGTAACTGACATGAAAGCAAACTGTATTGCAGGTAGCTTAGAGAAGACTCATGCATTCCTATACCATTCAGCTTTAAGTATCTTCCTTCTGGGAAAAGAAGTCTGATAAAATGTATATGAAAGGATTTTTATTGAGAATCCATTCCTTAAGTATTTTTTTAAAAGATTTATTTATTACATATACAGTGTTCTGCCTACATACCAGAAGAGGGCACCAGATTGAATTGTAGATGGTTGTGAGCCACCATGTGGTTGCTGGGAATTGAACTCAGGACCTCTGGAAGAGCAGTCAGTACTCTTAAACTCTGAGCCATCTCTCTAGCCCCATTCCTTAAGTATTTGTGTAGAGAACTTAAAAACATAGCTGTTAATGAATAAGTACTTTTAAAAGGGGTTCACTACGTAAAAATTTCAAAAGGTAAAACTAATTTATGCTCTGTCCATTATTAAGATAAACATACATTTGTGACATGACAAGACAGTACAGGGTCTCCTCTGTTATATAGTCTTGCTGAAGCCATTTTAGGGATGAGTAGAATTTGATTTCTGATGAAGACTCTCATTGAAAATTACTGAGCTCTGTTATCAGAACTAGAGGTCAAGATTCCTCATTTAATTTATCTTGGCTTCTGTCAAACTGTCTGCATGTGCGAACTTCCCTCTGCAGCTAACTGCTTATTTTGGCTTCTGTTAAACTGCTTGCTCGGGCAAAACCTCTTCCTGCATTTGCTGAACAAGATAACAAGATTTTTCTTAATAGACACTTGAGGCAGCATTGGGGGCCCCACTACCAGATTGTAGTCCCAGCTGGCAGGAATAAAGACTTTCACTTGGCTATAGACTCTGAGTGGTTTTCTCTGGTGACCTCCCAATAAAACATTAACAAAATAGTCAAAATTGGCTGGGTGGTGGTGGTGATGGTTGTGCAAAAAACCTTAATCCCAGCATTTGAGAGTCAGAGGTAGGTGGAGTTTAAGCTCAGGCTGATTTACTGTATTTAGGTTTTTTTTTTTTTTTTTTTTTTGGTCTTTGGTCTATTGAGGGCCCAACACCCAGCTCTCATTCTTACTTACTGGTGTACGATCTTAGCTTGGCCTGATTCTTGTCAGCTTTTCCTAACTTAAGTTGTCCCATCTGGGTTTTATGTTTATCTTTTCTACGTTCTCTGTGGCTTGAAGTGTATCTGGGTGGATGGCCCCTGATGTCCTCTGTCTTTTTTTTTTTGTTCCTTGGGCTCTAATTTCTTCTATTTATCTGCCTGCCTGCCAGCCAGCCTCACCTACCATTTCTTCTGCCTAGCTCACAGAGGTCCACCTGCCTCTGCCTCCTGAGTGCTGGTATTAAGGCGAGCGCCACCACTGCCCTGCTCTTTTATTCCAATTTTAACTACCTGTGTGAAGTCTTCCATTGCACATTAACATGTCAACACAGTAATATACAAATATTCAGAAAGGGTTAAAGAAGCTTCAGAGTTCAAAGATGCTGTGCTGAACGCCAGATACAGCGGACAGAGGCATGAAATAGTCTGGAGAGATCAGATCTATGGGAATGGCAGTGCCTTCTCTGGGTCAGGCTATGGGAAATGCCTTTCCCTGGTCCATGTGTGGATGCTGACAGTGTGTGCAGAAAATGTCAACCTCAGCTTCCTCCTGGATGTTTACAGCCTGAGCCTGTTCCCCACCAGACACCAATGTCTGAGATTTGCTGAATCTACTCCCTTTTTCAGTGGTATACAACAAGCAAGTCTCCATTAAGATATAGAAACAACAAACAAGAAGAAAATCAAAACCCAAAACTGCCTATGTAATTGTTGTAAAAGGCCCCCAAGACCTTAGTACAACATACTGTGTGTGATACTATGTGCTTAACTTCATGAGAACTTACCACATAACAATGTATTAGAAACTAGGTGCTTAACTTCTTCAAATCTCACAATACAACACTGTGTGTAAAACTATGCGCTTAACTTCATGAAATCTAAGTACATAACACTTTATGAGAAACTACATACTTACCTTCATGAAAACTAACGATACAACACAGTATATAAAAGTACGTGCTTAACTTCTTCAAAACTAACAATACAACATTGTGTGAGAAAACACGTGCTTAACTTCTTCAAAACTAACAATACAGCACTGTGTGTGAAACTACATGCTTAACTTCTTCAAAACTAACGATACAACACTGTGTGTGAAACTATGTGCTTAACTATATGAAATCTAATTATATAGAACGATATGAGAAACTACATACTTAACTTCATGAAAACTAACGATACAACACTGTGTGTGAAACTATGTGCTTAACTTAATGAGAACTTCCCATATAACAGTGTATTAGAAACTACGTGCTTACCTTCTTCAAATCTAACGATACAACACTGTGTGTGATACTACGTGCTTACCTTCATGAAATCTAACTCATGACACTATATGAGAAACAACATACTTAAATTCATGAAAACTAACGATACAACACAGTTCATAAAAGTACTTGCTTAACTTCTTCGAAACTAACGATACAACACGTGTGTGAAACAATGTGCTTTACTTCAAGAGAACTTCCCATATATCAGTGTATTAGAATCTACGTGCTTAACTTCATCAAATCTAACAATACAACACTGTGTGTGAAACTATGTGCTTAACTTCAAGAAATCTAACTATATAATACTATATGAGAAACTACATACTTATATTCATGAAAACTAACGATACAATACACTATTTAAAACTATGTTCTTGACTTCTTCAAAACTAACGATACAACACTGTGTGTGATACTACGTGCTTAACTTCATGAAATCTAACTATACAACACTATATGAGAAACTACATACTTAACTTCATGAAAACGATACAACACAGTATATAAAAGTACGTGCTTAACTTCTTCGAAACTAACGATACAACACGTGTGTGAAACAATGTGCTTTACTTCAAGAGAACTTCCCATATATCACTGTATAAGAATCTACGTGCTTAACTTCTTCAAATCTAACAATACAACACTGTGTGTGGAACTATGTGCTTATCTTTTTTTTTAATTTTATTTTCCAGTTTAAATTTAAATAAGAAAAAAGGTTGCTTCACAAGTGAGTTGCAGGTCCCTCTACCATTCCCTCCCTTCCTCCCGAGCCCTCCCCCGAGAACTTCCCATATAACACTGTATTAGAAACTACGTGCTTAACTTCATCAAAACTAATGATACAACACTGTGTGTGAAACTATGTGCTTAACTTCATGAAATCTAACTATATAACACTATATGAGAAACTACGTACTTATCCTCATGAAAACTAACGATACAACACAGTATATAAAGCTATGTGCTTAACCTCAAAAAAACTAAGGATACAACATTGTGTGAGAAAATACGTGCTTAACTTCATGGAAACTAACAATACAACACCGTATGGGAAACTACATGCTTAACTTCTTCAAAACTAACGATGCAACACTGTGTGTAATACCATGTGCTTAACTTTATGAGAACTTCCCATGTAAACCTATATTAGAAACTACGTGCTTACCTTCTTCAAATCTAACGATACAACACTGTGTGTGATACTATGTGCTTAACTTCATGAAATCTAACTATATAACACTATATGAGAAACTACATACTTAACTTCATGAAAGCTAACGACACAACGCAGTATATAAAAGTACGTGCTTAACTTCTTCAAAATTAACGATACAATCTTGTGTGAGAAAATACGTGCTTAACTTAATGGAAAAACTGACAATACAACACTGTGTGTGAAACTCCATGCCTAACTTCTTCAAAACTAACAATACAACACAGTGTGTGTAACTATGTGCTTAACTACATGAAATCTAATTATATAGCACGATACGAGAAACTACATACTTCACTTCATGGAAACTAGTGATACAAAACTGTGGGTGAAACTATGTGCTTAACTTCATGAGAACTTACAATGTAATACTGTATTACAAACTTCGTGCTTAACATCTTAAAAACTAACGATACAACACTGTGTGTGAAACTATGTGCTTAACTTCATGAAACTTACCATGTAACACTGTATTAGAAACTGCGTGCTTAACTTCTTCAAAATTACCGATACAATACTGTGTGTGGAAATATGTGCTTAACTTCATGAGAACTTCCCATATAACCCTATATTAGAAACTGCGTGCTTACCTTCTTCAAATCTAACGATACAACACTGTCTGTGATACTACGTGCTTACCTTCATGAAATCTAACTATATAACACTATATGAGAAACTACATACTTAACTTCATGAAAACTAACGATACAACACAGTATATAAAAGTACGTGCTTAACTTCTTCGAAACTAACGATACAACACGTGTGTGAAACAATGTGCTTTACTTCAAGAGAACTTCCGATACATCAGTGTATTAGAATCTACGTGCTTAACTTCATCAAATGTAACAAAACAACACTGTGTTTGAAACTATGTGCTTAACTTCAAGAAATCTAACTATATAACAGTATATGAGAAACTACATACTTATCCTCATGAAAACTAACGATACAATACACTATATAAAACTATGTTCTTGACTTCTTCAAAACTAACGATACAACACTGTGTGTGATACTACGTGCTTATCTTCATAAAATCTAACTATATAACACTATATGGGAAACTATATACTTAACTTCATGAAAACTAACGATACAACACAGTATATAAAAGTACGTGCTTAACTTCTTCGAAACTAACGATACAACACGTGTGTGAAACAATGTGCTTTACTACAAGAGAACTTCCCATATATCTCTGTATTAGAATCTACGTGCTTAACTTCTTCAAATCTAAAAATACAACACTGTGTGTGAAACTATGTGCTTAACTACATGAAATCTAATTATATAGCACGATACGAGAAACTACATACCTCACTTCATGAAAACTAGCGATACAACACTGTTTGTGAAACTATGTGCTTAATTTCATGAGAACTTACAATGTAACACTGTATTACAAACTACGTGCTTTACTTCTTAAAAACTAACGATACAACACTGTGTGTGAAACTATGTGCTTAACTTCATGAGAATTTCCCATATAACACTATATTAGAAACTACATGCTTAACATTTTCAAAACTAACTATACAACACTGTTTGTGATAATATGTGCTTAACTTCATGAAATCTAACTATATAACACTATATGAGAAACTACATACTTAACTTCCTGAAAACTAACGATACAAAACAGTTTATAAAAGTACGTGCTTAACTTCTTCAAAACTAACGATACAACACCTGTGTGAAACAATGTGCTTTACTTCATGGAACTTACCTTATAACACTGTATTAGAAACTACGTGCTTAACTTGTTCAAAACTAATGATACAACACTGTTTGTGAAACTATGTGCTTAACTTCATGAAATCTAACTATATAACACTATATGAGAAACTACATACTTACCTTCATGGAAACAAACGATACAACACAGTATATAAAAGTACGTGCCTAACTTCTTCAAAACTAACGATACAACATTGTGTAACAAAATACCTGCTTATCTTCATGGAAAAACTAACAATACAACACTGTGTGTGAAACTACATGCTTAACGTCTTCAAAACTAATGATACAACACTGTGTGTGAAACTATGTGCTTAACTTCATGAGAAATTACCATGTAACACTGTATTAGAAACTACGTGCTTAACTTCTTAAAAAGTAACGATACAACACCGTATGTGAAACTACATGCTTACCTTCTTCAAAACTAATGATACAACACTGTGTGTGATACTATGTGCTTAACTTCATGAAAACTAACGATACAACACAGTATATAAAACTACGTGCTT